CCAACTGAGGAGCACACACTTTTAGGAAAAACTGAGGAGACAGGGTCCAGCCTGGTGTTGGGCTGGGTCTGAATCCAGACTGGAGATCAGAAACAGCTCATGGGGCCATCCATGGCTAGGGGAATGGTGGGAGCCTTCCCTTTCTAGAAGGTTCCATCCTGAGCCAGCCTGCAGAGTGTAATGAGTCTGGTTCAGTGAAACTAAATGACACACTGCTTCATGTCAAGCCCCATAGCAAGTCTGCCTGGTCGGTGCCCAGCCCTGTGCAGGGTGCTGGCTCTCATCCAGCTCTACAGGCAGGCTTACCCTCCCCTTGGGGAAACGAGGCCTCGAGGTCAGAAAGTGGCTCACCTATCCTGCTCCATAGCCGCAGATCCGGATTTCCCTTTGACATGAGCTGAACATCAGAAGGAATAGGAAATCCAGGTGGTCCAGATCTCATGTCGGGCACGTCATGAACTCGAGCGTACGGGGGAACTCCAGCTTTAGAAAAGTTGACACCTGCAGTCTTGGCTCAAGCAGAGTCATGGGTCCCCACCACCAGGGCCCTGGGACCCACCCCGGGAGACGCATGTACAGAGGGCAGATGGCTCCCTTCCCTATGCCCACCACTCTGGGAGCCTCTCCCCCTTCACCCAAGAGAAATTCAAAGCGGGATAAGGAACCCTTCTTGAACTCCTCCCACCCCGCTGGGATATCAGTCACTTCCAACTACCTTGTCCTCTGAAGTTTCTTCTGCCACTAACAAAAGGTCCTGCATAGCTGCCTCCTCATCAGACACACCTGAACTTGAGTCCCAGCCCTGCCACCAACCAGGTGAGCCAAGCAAACCACTCACCCACAGTCAGGGCAGAGCCCAGCCTGTGGCCAAGGTCAAGGTTCTGTCAATCCCCCCTCCCACCACCGCTGCTCCTTTGCTACCTGGTAATCTGGGCCGTTTGTGTCCCATGGCTCTATGTCTGAAGGCAGTGCGACCTGGAAATCAGAGAGACCTGAGTGTGCATCCAGCTGGATGGGGACTGTGCCCCTAGCGCCAGGACAGACAATATCTGAACGAAAGGTGACTAAATGCACCAACGTGCTTGGGCAGACAATGCCCCTCCTGGCAGCAGGCTGGGCTGGAGAGGCCCTGGCCAGCAACTTTGTGGGACTGGGGTCCGAGGTCCTGTATGAGCCACCCGTCACCAAGGGCAGCCTTTGACGGTATTAGGGCCTTACCTGAGGGAACCTTTCCTGGATAAAACAAAAAGAGAAGAGAGAGAAAGACAGTGACGGGGGTGGGGGGGATGGGGAGGAGAGGGGGGGAGAGGCGAGAGAGAGAGAGAGAGAGGGGGAGAGG